AGCCACAATCGCACCAGATCCTGATAGCCTCAATCAGGGCTACTGGAATATATCAAAATATGTCCCCGTATCCAGGGTTGCCAGTGAGATACGGGCCCGTATTCAGTTGGCAGATTTTGGTTACACCCGTATTTTGTGAATACGGGCTCTGTTTGGGCCGGCCAGCACAGCCACTGCTACGAAAACACCATCAGTGCGTAGCCATGACCCAGGGCTACTCAGAAACGTGCAAATACGGGGTAGAATTCCTAACGGTTCCCGAGCTATGGCCTCCGTATTCAATCCGTATCCACCCGTATTTGTGCCACTGACCTCAGTGGCAGGTATTATAGTGTTAGTGAGTTTACTTCCATAGTTGCTGCGGAGATATGGCCCAGTCAGCCCAGCCCACAGGGGAGAGCCCATGTTTGGGGTGGGTGCACAGCCACAATCGTACTCATTTGTTGTAGCCCTGATCGAGGGCTTCAAGAATATATCATAATATGACCTTACTTCCAGGGTTCCTGTGGAGAAAAAGCTTACTTCCGTGTCCGATACGCTTACTTCCGACGGAAGTAAGCTCAGTGTCGGCCCGGATGCACAGCCACCGGCACGTAACCACCACCATCGTGTAGCCAAGAAGCGGGGCTACCGGAAAACCTTTGGAAGTAATAGTACATCCGTAACGGTTGCCAAGATACGGCCTTACTTCCGCCTTACTTCCACCTTACTTCCGCGCCACTGAGCTCAGTGGCAGGTTTTATAGAGATAGAGTTTCGCAGCACGGCCGGGCCGATGGTTCTTGATGATGCGACTGAGGGTGACCCGATACCGAGGGAGCGTCTTCGTGACAACGGCGTAGAGAGCGAGATCAATCGGCGGGCGGTTGTACATGTGCAGCACTAACCGCTTGATGCCGCGCCACAAAGCTTCAACGATCATAGTGGTCCGTTTGCGGGGAATGCTCTCGGCGTACGCTGATCGTGCCCAAAGCTTCCAACGTGGCTTGCAGTACCACGAGTTCCACATGTACGCCCAGACCTCACTCAAATTATTTGCCTTGCAGTGGCGGTACATCTCCTCGACGGCATCTCGATATATCTCCTCAGCCGACCGGCTTATACCGTGGCGCTCGGGTAGGAGAGGGTGCTGGCATGCGTGTTTGGTGAAGAGCCGGAGGATCGGGAGACGGTGGCAAGCCGGACAGAACTGGTAGTCCGAGGCGCGGGAACGCCCACCGGATTCTGATGGGTCCGGAGGCACGTCGGGGTCGATGTTTGCGGAGTCCTGGGCGATGGCATCGACCTCACGTCGGCAATCGTCTTCGTCGTCTATCTCGGTCTCCGCTCCATCGTCGATCTCCCAGAGGTCTGGAATATCGAAGTCCTCGTCCTCCCATTCGTCTCCAGCCTCAGCGTGATCTGCGAAGAACATTCCATCATCGCTTCGCTCGTCATCGTCCTGCACGAGCACCGGATTGTCGACCAGTTGAGAGGGGCGTGCAGCGCAGCTACCAGCACGCTCGACGTCGAAATGCTCAAAAGCGTCGCCCAGGCCTGGGCTTGTATTAGACTCGGCAGGGGGGACCTCGGGGGCCTGCGAGCGACTAAGTGCGTCGGCTATGTCCCTGGGCTTGAGAACAATCCGCAATGCCGGCGTGAGAACAGGTGGGCGCCCATTGACGAGCAGGCGGACGCGAGGGAGGGGTTTTTCCGGGGGCGGAGGTAGCTGTGGACCGGGGATGAGGGACATGATGTTCCCATGAGTTCCGCAGATCGTGATATCAGTGATGAATGAACGTACCGGATCCAAGCCTGCTTCGCAGCGCTGAGCAGCAGGCAGGAAATGAGGGTCGATAAACGAGAACTCGCTGCGAGCGGCACTCGCGTTGTATGGTGCCGGAACGTGCTTGTTCTTGCAGAGGCGCTGTTTTACGGCGCGGAGACCGTGCCAAAAACATAGCTGATGTTTGGCGTACTTCCAGGTCGCGCCCATGGCGTTGATCTCGGAAAAATCCTTGTCCGTAAGCGTGAACTCCGGGTCGACGCCGAGCTCTTTGAGACGCTCTAAGAAGCGTGTGAGGACCGCCTGCTTGGCTCCAGCGCCGACGTCCTTGGTTGTCCGAATGAAGATGAAGGCGAGTGGAATTCCAGCGCCATTTGCATCCGCGACGGCAGAGAAGAGCTCGAAGTTCCCGCCATTGGTATTCCCTAACGCGGACTTAGAAATAATTGATAATAAATGAAAAAGTCACTCACACGTCGAGTCCATCGCTAATTCTTGCGTGTGCTGCGCCCAGGCGCCCACGAAGTCGGTTACATAAAACGCTAGCGCTTCCGTTCCTGGCTCTGCTTCCACGTCGAGCATGGCAATATGATGGTCTTTCCCTCTCTCCCGGACGAACTTGCGTGCAGACTCCAGCGGCGAGTCTGCCAGGCGCCACTCCTCGCGGCTGACTACATGCCAATAGTAGTAGACCGCGTTTGCACTGTATGGCAGTTCAACGTCCTCCACGGCCAACCCGCCCGCCTCTGTCTGCAGTATATGACCCCAGATCTACGATCACAGGTGAGTGTCGAGCGCTATGATCCGTGCATGATGGAGCTCACCTGTCCCGGTGTCTGGGTGCGCGCATTCTCCCGGATATATTGCTTCCACCTCTCTGGAAGCTCCATATTGAGGTACGCGACATGTTCCTCGGCATGCGCGAGAGATACACCGATGACATCGGACCCCGGGCTGACGGCTAGATGCAGCCATCCATCGCACGGGAAGCGGTCCATGCGGCGAGAATCCCGCGCTTTCTCCCCCTTTGGCGCCTTCTCTTTATGCTCACGACTTTCTGATTGTGCACAGCTATACGAAAAGACCTCGACCTTGTTCCGCTTCCGGACACCTCGGTTCTCAAACCTGCCGAGTGGGTTGATGGTAAGTAAAGTGTCAGAACATGATGGATGACATGCTCATACGTCCAATGCAGCATCTGCGCAGTCCCGAGAGTCTTTGCAAGCACGTTCGCGCGTTCTCGCGGTGTGGCTTCTGCCGCCGTGATCTCGGCAATGTTCACTTGGGCGCGCACCTGCAGAGGAGAGTCCATCTCTCTCACGGCCTCCAGGAAGTCGGCCACGGAGATCTGACCCAGATCCATCCCGCCCTTCGAGTTGTCCTCGCCAACCCGGTCCTCCGCCTCTGCATCCGCCTCCGCCTTGCGCTTCCCAGCTCGCGCCTTCCGGCTCGCCTTGCGTTGGTCCGTACAGCGCTCGCAGATCGCACTGGGATCGCCCTTCTTGCCACCTGCGCTGTCCTTGACGCGGAGGGGGAACGCGTCCAGGTCCTTTTCGACACGACAGATCTCGCAACACTTCGAAGCCATAGCAGATGAGGAGGTGCTGGTTCGTAATCTCACAAATTTCATTCTGAAACTACAGTACAAATGACAGGCACCAGATACACGTGGGCTGATGATGGCCGGTAGGTACAGGATAAGGCGTAGCGCCGGCGCGCGCACTCGCGCGCGGGGCGTCGCGCAACGTCGCGCGGGTGCGCGAGCATCGGCGCGGTTAAGCGCCGGTCGGGGCCGGGCGAGATAAGATGTCGGCGGGGTTCCGCCACAGCGGAGTTTGAAAACCAGAGCAAACCTGTTGGGAGATTAAGGTCTCGTTATACTCACCTGTTCCACTCCAGAAGAACATGCCAGTGTCTTATACGGACCAGGGTTCCTGCAGCCACCCGCTTCCACTGCTCGGTATTCCGCTTGGTCTTTTGCCATGTGGTGGCTGTCGACGATAGCATCGTACTTTGTACTCAGTATGCGTACCGATAGATCCAAAATATATTGTTTATCATCGCTGCTGTGGCGATATGCGAAGACGAAAGCAGGCACGCCCCGGGCTTTCCTCTGTAAAATGTCCCATAGCCCCTTCGACGAACACAGAAAGCACGTATAGCCAAAGTGTTACATGCGCTATATGCGCGGCGCGCACTCCGATTCTGCGCAACCTAGCTCCCGTCGAAACGCGACGCTGCTGGGAATCGCGCACGCAGCACTCCAGCGCTAATGCAGATCGCGCTTATCGCACCGCTGCGCGACTTACGATCACCCCTTTCGCCACCTCGTGCTATCACTCGTCGCGCGGCTCAACCTACGCTCTGCGTTCGTCACGCAATCAGGGCATAGCCCCGTGTGCTTTGTGCCTTCGCAAAGGTTGGGATTCCATTTGTCTTTGCTATGTAGCGTATACAGTAGCTCACCCCGGCTAATTCGGCCTTTACGCAGTGAGTCGCAGCGCGAGCCGTTCACGATACACCCCCGCCGACATGGAGCGGGCGGAGTGGCAGCGGGGGAGTTCCAAGATCGTCGCTGTATAGCACCATACATCTATAGACACATGAGATCCGTATGCCTTCCCGCTTACCCGTTACCCTTCAGCCCGACCGCCGCTCACTTCTGCCGCTTGTAGATCTTGTCGAGGAAGACCTTGAACACCTCGCGCCGGAGCACGACCTCGCCCGCCTTCGCCTGCGGCTTCTCCGGGATGGTCTCGATGAGACTCACGATGCGCTTGTACGCCGCCTCCTCGTACGCCGCGAACCGCGCGCGGATGCCCAGCTCCTCGTACAGCGCCTTGACGCGCGCCTCCGCCGCCGCGTCCTTGCGGCCGTAGTTGTCGTCGAGCACCTTGCGCTGCGCGGGGTTCGCGATCGCGAGCGCGGTGTTCACGCACCACGAGCATTTGTTATCGACGATGTCCGTACCGATCTTGCCGAGCAGCTCCGGGGGCTGCGCGAAGTCGAGGAAGTCGTCCTGCACCTGGAAGTACTCCCCGAGGGGGATGAGGATGGACTGCGCGAGCGCGTACGGGTCGTTCTGCGCCGTGTGCGGGATGCCGGTCATGTACATCGACAGCGCGACGGGGAGGTAGAAGGAGTAGTACGCCGTCTTATAGATCACGATCTTTTGGTGTCTGTATGCGCGCGTGCGACGTCAGTAGGGAACGCGCGGAGACATAGAAAAGTGGGGGCGCACTTTTCGAGCGAGAACTTGCTCAGGTCGACGTGGTCCTCCGGCGCGGTGATCAAGTCGATGAGCTGCCCGAGCTCGGTCTGGAACGTCGTCTGTGCGCGCCGTTGGCGTCAGCACCCCTTCCTTTTCCGTCACGCGAAACGGGGGAACTCACGTCGTGGAAGAGCTCGAGCAGGTGCACGTAATACGGCTCGGTGCGGAAGTGCTTCTTGAGGAGGAAGTAGATCGCGCCCTCGAGCATGAACGAGTCGTTGATCGCGATGTGGCTCACGCCCTCGACGCGGTACCAGCACGGCTGACCGCGGCGCGTCACCGACTGGTCCATCATGTCGTCCGACACGAGGAAGAATGCTTGCAGCTGTACGTGCGGCCGTCAGTCAATTATCATCTTGTGCGCGTGGCGGGAACGCGGGCGCGGGCGCGAGTGCGAACGCGAACGCCGGAGGGGAAGCAGGGGGAGGGGAGGACAATGCAAAGGAAGGGAGACGCAAACGGGGTGGACGGTCTTACGCGCGAGGCAGGGGGCGAGCGCGAGCGCCGGAAGGGAAGTAGGCAGCGGAGAAGGGAAGGGAGACGCAGGAGCAAAAAACGAAGACTCACAAGCTCGATGCACCACCCCAGCAGCGCGGCCTTGAAGTACTCGTCCTCGCCGAGCGCGCGCCCCTGCAAGATCTCGACCGAGTCCACAACCGACAGCCCTCGGTTCAGCTTCCCACCCGGCACGTTGTACTCCAAGTTCTACACATCACACCCGCGCGCAAGTCAGCTCTCGTCTCGAGTGTACGCGCAAAGAGAGGGGGGAGAGGGCGTACGCGGCGGTACCAGTCGACGGCGTCCTGGGGCATGCCCTCCTGGCGGAGGTACGCGAGCAGCTCGTCGCGGAGCACGGCGAACACGTCCTCGAACTTCTGGCGTTTCTGGGCCTTTGCGTCTGCCATCGTCGTGTGCGGGGTGTGGTGGTGGTGGGAGGAGGAGAGGAGAGATGCGCGAGGAGGCGATGGAGGGATGAGGGGAGGGGAAGGCTATCTATCGATGGACGCGGGTCGAACGACTTCAGCGCGCCGCGCGCGGTATCGCCGTCTCCGAATTTGTCGGAAACGCCCATCGTCTCATCTCGCCGCCGATCTCCCCTTGTCGTCTTGTCATGTCTCGTGTCTCGCACACATCGCACGACAGCGCACAACAATGCGCGATAGGAGTGGGGATGTCATGTCATTGCAGTGCATGTAGCGTGAGCGAGATTGACGGGAACAGAGAGCGAGTACACTAGTGGGCGAATAGTACGTATGTATGGATGTAGGATAGCAGTAAGCAGCATGTAAGACCGACAGACCAAAGCCAGGAAAATGCGCGACGAGAACAACGTGAGTGTGAGGGTGGGATCGAGAACTAGCACGAGCACTAGAGAGTACTTTTGAAGGCACCGCCGGCTTAATGCACGGCCGCAAGTCTACGACCCGCTTAGAAGCCCATACCGCCCATGCCACCCATTCCGCCCATGCCGCCAGGCGCACCGCCTGCAGGCTTGGGCTCGTCGGCCTCGACGACGCACGCCTCGCTCGTCGTGAGCAGCGACGCGACACCCGCGGCATCAATCAGCGCCGTACGCACGACCTTGAGCGGGTCGACGATCCCGGCCTGGATCATGTCGACGTACTCGCCCTTGCTCGCGTCGTAACCCCACGAGAACTTGTCCGCCGCGCCGTATGAGTTCAGGAGCGTGCCGACGATGACGGACGACTCCTCGCCCGCGTTCTTCAGGATCGTGCGCGACGGCTGGGTGAGCGCGCGCTTGATGATGGAGACACCGAGGTCCTGGTCGAAGTTCGCGGTCGGGATGGGCTTCGCGTCAGGCGACGAAGGCGTCGAGGGCTGGCCCGCCTGCGACGCAGACGTCAACGCGAGCGATGCCTTCAAGAGCGCGACACCACCACCGGGCAGGATACCCTCCTCGACAGCCGCGCGCGTCGCGTTCAGCGCGTCGTCATACCGGTCCTTCTTCTCGCCGACCTCGACCTCGGACGAGCCGCCGACCTTGATCACGGCGACACCGCCGGAAAGCTTGGCAAGGCGCTCCTGAAGCTTGGTGCGGTCGTAGTCGGACGTCGTGCGGTCCTCGACGAGCGAGCGGATCTGCTCGCAGCGCGCCTGGATGGCGTCCTTCGAGCCCGCGCCGTTCAGGACGATAGTGTCCTCCTTCGTGATCGTGATCGAGCCGGTCGAACCGAGCATGTCCGCGGTGGCCTGCTCGAGCTTGATGTCGAGCTCGTCGGTGAACACAGTACCGCCGGTGAGGATGGCGAGGTCACCAAGGATGGACTTGCGGTTATCACCGAAGCCGGGCGCCTTGACCGCGCACACCTGGAGCTGGCCGCGGAGCTTGTTGACGATGCACGCCGCGAGCGCCTCGCCGTCAATGTCCTCCGCGATAATGATGAGGGGACGACGCGACTGAGCAGCAATCTCGAGTGTGGGGAGGATGTCCTGGAGCGCGCTGATCTTCTTCTCAGAGAGGAGGATGAGCGGCTTCTCGAACTCCGCGCGCTGGCTCTTGACGTCGGTCACGAAGTAGGGGGAGATGTAGCCGCGGTCGAAGCGCATGCCCTCCGTGATCTCGATTTCGTCCTCAATCGTGCGGCCCTCCTTGACGGTGATGACACCCTCCTTGCCGACCTTCTCCATGGCCTGCGCAATGAGGTTGCCGACGTGCGCGTCGCCGTTCGCGGAGATGGTTGCGACCTGGGCAATCTCGGCGGTCGTGGTGATCGTCTTTGCCTGCTTCGAGAGGAAGTCGACGACACGCTCGACGGCGGCCTGGGAACCACGGCGGAGGTCCATGGGGTTGCAGCCAGCAGCGACGTTCTTGACACCCTCCGAGTAGATGGCACGCGCGAGGACGGTCGCGGTGGTCGTGCCGTCACCGGCAATCTCGTTCGTCTTTTGCGCAACATCCTGGACGAGACTAAATTATGGATGAGTAAGCGAGCGCGGCGAACGAACGCGGGGTTTTACTGACCGAGCACCGAGGTTCTCAAACTTGTCCTTGAGCGTTATTGACTTTGCTACAGTAACACCATCTGCGCGTGTATGTTAGTATGTGAATTTAGCAGGTACGCGAGGGACGTACCCTTGGTGATCTTCGGGCCGCCGAAAGGTTGCTCGATGATGACGTTGCGACCTGGGAGGGCGAAAGTCAGACGCGACGTTCTCGCGCGTGCACACAACGCGAATAGAACGCACCCTTGGGACCGAGGGTAACAGAGACAGCGTTGGCAAGGACGTCAACGCCCTGGAGGATGGCAGCACGACCCTCGTTGGAGAACTTGATCTCCTTGTGCGCGCCGCGGGCAAGAACCGGCTTGACGGCCTTTGCGGCCTGGCGGCGGACGGCAGAGGTAGACGCAGAGAGGTGGTGCATGGTGGCGAAAGGGAAGAACGGGGACGACGAGAGGGAGAGAGACGACGACGACGAGGGGAAAGGGAATGACACGGAGAGAGCCGTTTTTTTGGCGACGCGAACCTTTAAAGCCGTCCGCCCCGCCGAACACTCTAGAATCACGCAGTCACACCGTCACGTCACCCTCTCACGCGTCCGACGCGTCCCGATCCCTTCTCTTCTTTCTCCGCGCTGTAACGACTGCAAGGCTGCTCGCTTACCATCCTGGAAGTATTTTCAAGGCGAACTAAGCCGTCGTTGACCGGACTATGGCAATGCGTAAGTGAAGCTGAGGGAAGGCGTGACCGCGAATCCCGCGCGACGTGATTCGCCAGAGCGCCAGGGCGCCTCTCCTTGCTCTCCTCCTCCCCAAACGGCGTGCTGCTCGACGCGCAGAGTGGCTCATTCTCCACCGTCACCTACTCGTCGTTTTTGAGCTCTTTGACGATACAACTGCCTTCGAAATCCAACATTCTAGCAGCGCTGCTGCTCGCAGTGGAATGTGTTTGACATCTTACCGCCTAGTGGGACTCGGTGAGCACTATTGACCGCACTGAGCCGAGTAATATTTTCACGCACATACTCATACGTTCGTGCAGGTCTTACTCTCACAAAACGAGCTACTACATGCCGAAAAAGACGCTGCTTTGCGTAGTCGGATTAGGTCCGCTACGACTCCTCGTCCACTTCGAAAAAACCCTCCATCTGTGGTCCTCGGAACATTATCTCTCGCTGGTTTGTCTATCGGCCTATCTTGTTGTGTTACTGCTATGCGCACTCCGCTCCGACATCTTTACCGCAAACGAGGACCGAGCCGCCTTTCCATAGGCCCGTCTATACCGTCGTCGGCGGAGTTGTAGGCGCGTACTTCGTCTACCAGCCGGCAGCTTTCTCAAGTTGACGGTTTACTGGCTGGACGAGATCTGGTGAGTCATGTAACCCACTATATGCTCTGTGTCTGCATTTAGTGCGTGCATACATCCACAGCCCAACTTAGCCTTCGGTGTGTAGAGCATACCTGCGCGGGCGTCGAGATAGCTGTTCCTTCGCACCCCCTCCACCGAAAATATCCCTGCTTCTAGGCTCATCTCGATCTCCACTACTTCGAACCCGGATTACGCGTCTCGCTAATCTCGCGAGCGCAAGGTGGAGGACGACTTTGCCTTCCGTCGACACATAGCGGCTGTCCAGAACGGCCACCGGCAAAGTCGCGCTCTTCCTCCTCTTCCTCTCCCCACCACCATTTTACCCCCCTCCACCCTCTGCGCCTGTGCGTCGACTAAGACGGTTCCGACGCCCCCAATCAACCCGGTGACGGTGAAGGCGACAACGGCGACGCTGCAGTTCGCTAACAGTGTTGAACGTTGGGCGGCGCGAGCGCGTGCATACAGGCAACCAAACTTCTACAAACTCGCACTGGCAGTGCCGAGCCGCAAATTCTTCGCGCATACACTCATATGCTCTTGCAGGTCCTGCTTGCGTCGCGCCTGCATCCATCTAAGCTCCTTTCCACGCTGGTGTATACATCCACAAACCCCCTCGGCGAGCTCCAGATCTATTTTGCTACCGCTACGCGCTCTCTGAAGCTCCGATATCTCCTCATCCGTCTCTCGGCACCTGGCCTTGCGCAGACCCCATGGACGGCGTCAAAACCGCCACCGACGCTGACGCTCCTCCTGTTGATCCAATAATGCAGATACACCATTCACTTGCCGTCCCGGACTCGATCGAGCCGTCTTTCTATGAGTTCGTCCGCGCCACCTCCGGCGGAGATGCAGGCCCGTACTTCGTCTACGATCCGGCAGCTTCCTCAAGTTGATGCTCTACCGACTGGATGGGAGGTGAGTCATCGTACCCACTATATGCGTTATCTTCGCCCTTAGTGCATGCATACATCCACATCCCAACCGACACCTTGGTGCAAAGATCCTGCCTGCATCATACTCGCCTATGGTCACTAGTTGTTCCTGCGCCCTTGTACCTCACAACAAGCCGGCGCTGACGAACCTTGTCAACGTCGAGACCCGAGGGTCTCCAAACACCCACTCATGCACAGCGACGTACCTTGCGCCGCGTTATCACCTTGCGAACTAGGCTCATGCGTCTCGTGAACACCTAGCGTCTACGCAAAGCCGCGGTCAAGAGCAGCCACTACCAGTGCTGGCACGACTGGACTTCTGCATCGGATGGGACGCGCTGTTTCTCTCCTGGCACCCTTGGCGTCTACTGGTGCTCCTCTTCGCGGCCGTTATACGCTGTCGGATTCCAGCGAAGTTGTGCTTGTACGGCTGCGCGTTCTACACAACGGCTGTAACACTCGCTGCCCACCGATGGTCTTCGACCGCGGGCCACCCTGTTCACTCCGCCCGCATCTCGCCATCCTTGGGTATAGTCTTCGCTTTCGCCGTCGCTCATACCGTCTCGCAATCATGCTCTGGTACTGGGTCTACGCGGCCTTTTCGACGATCTTGCCTTTGCTAGCCTACCCTTTCGCATCCTGGCCACACGCCGATTTTGCGAGTGAAACCACAGCCGACTTCCGTTTCACCCACATCCAAACACGCATTCACAACAGAAGACTTAGGTGTGGACGTCAGGCGTACCCCCGTCGATGATCGTCGTCCCTCCCAATCGCCGCCCAGCCCGGACGCCAATTTCACAGCTTCCCTTCCGACCCTCGGTTGCGTGCAGATCCACACCGACAATCTTCGTGGTATTCATACTTTGCCGAGCCGGGTTCATGGTGTTGCCGGAGGTCGAGGATCGACGTCATGTCCGATGTTGGATCGTACCAGGGCCGCGCATGTCTTCGCTTTTTCACGTCTCTGTATCGCGCACATATTCTGCCCATGTTATGCGTTCAATTTTATATGTCTGAGAATAATCATGAGAACTTTCATGAGACAAATTATGTCGACGCAATCCGAGACAGACCGAGTGGGCGCCCGTCATTTTACCAGGTATGGGCGGCTGATGTGGCTGCAGCTGCGGTCTACTTTCTCTTCCTCCCACCACCACCATTCCTCCACCCTCCACCCTCCGCGCCCGTGCGGCGACCAGGACGTTCACGCCGCCCCCGACGACCCCGGCGACGACGAGCAAGATGCCGTACGACTCAAACGACGCGCGCCGCCTCGGTGCACAGGCCCTCTCCCACGTTATCCTCGCTCTCCGCGTGCTCGGGCGCGTTCTCCTCTTCGTCCTCCGTGTCCCCTTCCTCGGCCAGCTCGCCAGTCTTGTGCTCATCCAGTGGTACGCGTACGGAACCTATCGCCTCTACCTGATCGGTACCTGGGGCCCCGGCTTTCCGAATGGATGGACGGCTTGGATAGCTTTCCTCACGGCCCTCCCCTTCTGGGCGGCACTGCAGCTCTTCTGGCTGGTCGTCTCGGTCGGCTTCCAACGAAAATGCGCGGGTAGATTCAAGGCGTGGCGCGCGGGGCGGGCACAGAACGACGGGTACATGATGCTCGACCCGCGGGGCAGCATCGAGGAGGACGCGCGCCCTCCCTCCCCCAAATTCGGACCCCGTTCGCGCGTATTCGGCGCGCACACACTCTGGTACGCCGCACAGATCGTCTTCTACGTCTCCGTCCTCCTCGCCGCCCTCTACCACTACAAGCACTATGAGCACCCGGCAGACGTGCGCCTCCGTCCCGCGCTGCACCGCGCGCTCGCAGACGCACACCCGAACCCCGCCGGGTATGCGCCGCGCTCGGAGAAAATCTTCATCGCGGCCGCGTTCCACCAGAACCAGGACGTGCTCCCGTACTGGACACGCTCAATGAAGCAGGCGATCACCTACCTCGGTACAGACAACGTCTTCGTCTCGATCGTCGAGAACTACTCCACGGACCGCTCCCCTGACCTCCTGCGTGAGTTCGCGCGCGACCTCGACCGCCTCGGTGTGCGGAATCGCGTGCTCGTCTCCGACGAAACCGTGAAGAAGCCTGAGCACGTCGAATGGAACCCGCGCATTGAGTTCCTCGCCGCTATCCGCAACCAGGCGCTCGAGCCGCTGCTGGCCTCTGGAGGGTACGACCGCGTCCTCTTCTCGAACGACATCTACATCGAACCCGAGAGCGTGCTCGAGCTTCTCACGACGCGCAACGGCGACTACGACTTTGCGTGCGGGCTGGACTTCGGGCACTTTGGCGCGTACGACATGTGGGTTCTCCGCGACCGCGTCGGGCGGCTCACGGCGGGGATCTGGCCGTACTTCTTCGACGCTGCGAGCATGGAGGCCGTCAAGCGAGAGGAGCCCGTCCCCGTGTACACCTGCTGGAACGGCATCGTCGCGTTCCGTGCCGACCCTGTCCTCCCTGTCGCGCTGCGCGGGAACAGCACGCTCTCGCATGCCCCGCTCGCGAAGCCTCCCCCCGCGAACCACCCGTGGACACCGCAGCTGGGCGCGTCGCCTGCGCAGACACCACCACTACGATTCCGCGCGTCGGCAGAGGGCGAGTGCTACTCGTCGGAGTCGTTCCTCCTGCCATACGACTTCCGGCGGGTCATGGAGCTGGACAAGGTGTACGCGAATCCCCTGGTGATCACCGGGTACGCGTGGAAGTACTACACCTGGCACAAGTGGATCCTCCGGCATCCGCTCGTGAAGTGGTTTGTCGAGGAGGTATGGGACGGTGCGTGGATGCAGAACGCGCGCATGGTCGTCGGCGACGCGAAGAGCGTCTGGGTGTGGGAGGGCGTCGAGTGCCATCCGTGGTGGTAGCACGCACTTAATTATTGGTCGCTCTGATATCTAGCTTTCGGGTTGGGGCTCGGTTATTGTACAACTGCATGTGTCTTGCATAGTGTCTTGCGAACATGGCTATCGGTGCTGCGAGCTGTGTCGCGAGTGCCGTCTGTGGGTCGTTGTGTCGGCTTAGTGTATAGATGGAGAACATTGCTACTCTTGTTATGAATTGCGGTGTATTGCGCTAATTATACGAGTGTATATATCTAAGATACCCCCTCCGTCTACTGCTGCTCTCGCGCCAGCGCCGCGACGAGCCCATCTGCTCTCCTCACCGACCCGAACCTCAGCGGCTCAAGCCCGTAGCTCTCCGTGCCAATAACGCCCTGGCCGAGGAACACCTCGTCGGGAATGCGCTCCAGGCGCACGAGCTCGCGCCGGATGTACTCGACCGACGCAGCCATCAGCTCCGGGTACGCGACGTACTTGTCCGCCTCCGCAGGCGGGTAGTCGTGCACGCCCGAGCCGTCGTCCCGCCGCTCCTCCGCCTCCAGCCCGCCGCTCTTCTCCAGCTTCTCGATCTTCTCGACCTTCCCACCCGCGAGATTCACCGTCCTCCGGAAACCCTCAGGCGCATCGCTCGCCACGCCGGGGTACGCGATCCCACGCGCCCCACGCGCGCCCAACAGGTTCCGCCACACCGCCGCGGCGAGCTCCGTGTCCGAGCGCACGAGACCGAGGTCGAGGGACATGCCCATGCCCGCCCACTGCTCCTTGAAGATCTTCATCTGGCGCGAGACGAGGCTCTCGGGCGCGCGCCCGCGCGGCTTCGGCTTCCCGTCCACCGCGTTCGCGATGCGGTAGAAGGACGAGGTGCGCGTGTATGGCGCGAGGTTCTGTGCGGGGGCGAGCGACTTGGCGGAGACGGGCTGGAGCACGGCGCGCACGCGGTCCTCGACGTCAATGAAGAAGTGGTCGATGAGGCCCTGGACGTAGTTGGTGCCGTGCGGGGCGGGGAGCGCGCGCAAGCGGACGCTGAGGAGCCAGACGTGCAGGTTCGTGACTGTGAACCAGGACTGGAAGGTCGGCGGGAGGTGGCATTCTGGAGAAGAGCGTGTAAGCCAGTGTAAAGGTAAGGACGAGCGAGCGCGCAAGGGTGTGCAAGGGCAACCGTGGACGCTCACTCTCGTTATGTGTAGTACATACTCTCAAGAGTGGGAGAGAACGTGGACGGGTATATGGGGAGCTACGGCGACTTCCACCCGCATGCTGCATTCGAGAGGACGCGAGCGCGGAGCGAGCCTCGCGTAGACGTTCAGACTGGCCGTGTGAGGGAAGCGAGTCGCGCAGAAAACGAAAAACACAGGGCACGGACGTATATGGAATACGAGGATGCGCGCGCGTAGCGAGAACAGGTACGCATATCGACCGCGCACGGCAGTCACGCAAGAGGGAAGTCGTACGCAGTACGACCTCTGCTCAGGACGTCGCACTGACGTGTGCCCACAGCTGTGCCACATTATGTTCCGATATATGCTGCCCTCTACCCGTGGTGTTGCCTTCTTGCCGCAAGAGTACGCGAGTATGAATAGTGCAAAGCTTATAGTGACCTTGAGGCGTGTATACCTCGCGCATGTCTGTCAGAGCGATACGCAGAACAAGCACAAGGCGCGGAGGAAGGTGCCGGACTATGGTGATATCTGCTTCATGGGCATGTATGGCAGAACGTGTTGCCGCGACGCGAGCGCAGGATGCGATGGCACCTGGCCCGCACGTATATTCATCTCCAGCATGAAAATGTAGCACGCGAAACGAAAGGAATGACCGGGGGAGGGCGAGGGCAAGCACCGAAAGCAATGGCGTCGCGCCCACAGCACGCCCGCCAGTCATGAAAGGGGTGCAGCACGGGATACTAGACGAGAGGGGGAAGATGCTCACCGTCTTGCCAAAACGCGAGGTCGTCATCCGGCCGGGATATGCATAGCTCCGAGTACATGTTGTACGCTCTCCGTCCCGCGTACTGTTTTGCGCTACCGTATCCGAGCAGACCAGCAAGGGTGAGGAAGGCCTGTTTCGCTGCAGGCGACTGCTTGATAGTTTTTGAGAGCCATGTCTGCTGGGGGGACGGGGGTTGCTGACTGGCGGACGGAGCAGGCGAAGAGCGCGGCTGCCGCTCTGTCGGTGGTGGTGTTGACGAGCCTGCTGGTGGTTGGAAGGACTGCTGTGTCGCGAGAGAGCGAGCAGGAGAGGGAAGAGAACGCCAGAGCCTGTGCACGGGAAGCGACTGACGAAGCATCCTGGCTTTTGGGAGGAGGAGCAGAGCAGGAACGGCGGATCCCGTCGCGGCTCGGCACAGCTCCGTCACTCGTTAGATCCGGTAAGTAGCCTCTACTTATCGCCTTTGATTTACTGAAACTATGTGGCATAGAACACTCTAACCGTGCGAATGTTGCACTACGTTACACACGCGCACTTAAGTGGGCCTTCGCGAGGGAGCCTCCTCCTTACTTCCTCCTTCCAATCCGCACAAGATGCGGCCCTCAGTCACCACAGCACTAACTTTAAGCTTCGGTACTGGATATTGAGGAGGAGTATGGCCCACTGGCAGGTACCAAAGCGTTATCATTACATGCGCGCTGTTAGCTAACATGGTGTTCGACAGGTCGCCATACGTTACATGGACATGTACAGGGACGATCCTACCGTCCATCTGGCAGGCGTATTTGGTAGTGGTATCGATGTGACCCCCGGGTTACATCGAGCTAAACACCGGAATTTGACCAAAGTCATTGCAACGCCATCCATATCATGGATGGTAGCCAAGTGGTCAGTCGGTGCCATGATTATGCTGGCGGCATGCGGCGCTGTAATTGATTGACACGAAGCGCACCCGCACAGCCCAAGGCTTCCGTAGTACCCCTTCGAGTCGTTCTCGCCTTCGGCGTGCGATGTCAAACACCTTCTAAGCCCTATCTGTGATATGAACTGCTCACAAACTCGCCACTCATCCATCCAAGTGGTTCGTCTCTCTCCTACGTCTGTCCATCATGTCCATCCCTGCTCCTCGCTGAGTAGAGCGCCTTCCATCTTTTGTGCGTCCAGCCACATTGCGGTCGCTCCATGCAGTCCAGTCCCGACGCGGTCTTTTCATTGCTACCACTTCTCCTTGGGTCGGAATGTTGCATCTCTGGAAGCCTCCCTCGAATGCTCTATAATAACTCCAAGCTCCGAACGAGTCTATTCGCAAACTCGTCCCCCGCTTCGCCACTGGAATGGCTTCGACAACCTCCGCCGCCGCCTCGATGGCCGCGTTCCTCAAGTCACAGGATTTGGCGTGCGTATATCTTTCGAACATGGACGCTCCAAACATCTCCTGAACACCTGCGCTTTCAGTGTCGCAGAGCGATATTTCAAAATGGCGACCACCAGTAAGCAGACCCCCTCGCTACCGACCAGCTGTGGTCGCGCGCGCCGCACTGACAGAAGTCAACGATATAGTGCTACTCATGTGGCACTACCTTTTGACTATCGACAAGGAGGTCGCTTTCTTTTGGCGACGAAGATTCTCCGGAGTGTGCGCACTCTTCCTCGCAAACCGTTACATCATCCTCGTCGTCATCATCTATCAATCTCCCTGGTGGAATGTGCACTTCTCGCAGAGAGTAAGCTTGTCTCTATATTTTGTCCTTTCACGCATACACGTAATGAACTCGGGTGCATATAGTGGCAGTGGGTATCCTTTCGGGAAAGTTCTACCTTTATATGCTACTGATGATTGCCATGCCGCCACACGGCAAGGTGCCAGACGGCGATATATCTACAGACCATCTTCGCCTACATGCAGTACCTCGTCTGGGCAGGTAAGCAACGTTTTTGGCACTTTGGAGTATACGCGCCACGAAGTGCTAACTTCCGGAGTGCAGTGTTCTCGTTTCTGCGTGTATATGCACTGCAGATGCGATGGGAATGTGCGGTCTTCGTTCTCATCCTTTCACTTGGTCACGTTGCGTACGGTATAGTTAGTACGTTCTACCGCTCCTGCGATTGCGACTAACATGGTCATAACTCAGTGGGTCACAGCAACAGAAGCCGTCGTATTCGATACGTCGCCAAATAGTTGCCATTCACGCCCCCCCTGGTCAGCGGAGTTGAACACCGGGTATGCATTTACGACTGTGCTGTTTATCATTGGCGCTGACTTAGTGCGTAGATGTGAGCTCGCTCGATGTTCACCGACGAACACCTCTGACAGGGCTTCCGCCGCAGTGGCAATTGCCGCTCGCGCCGCCCTCGTTCTTGCAGAGATGATCGTCATGGCTGTCGCCTGGTCGAAAATGAGTCCCCGCCGTCATAGAGCGGACATCGTACGCGTTCCCTATAGACCGCTGACGCTGTCATCTGTATTTTACGAGAACGGTGAGCGCGCATGTGCTCGGGGATTCTTGCTAGATTAATATTGACGAGGAACACCCCCGATAGGCAGAATCTTTTTCTTGTACAATCTAGAAGCTATTCCTCTCCTTATCGTTACTGACTGTCATTTCAGACTGATGTTGGTCGCGCACACAGTCTACCTGGTGAACCGGACGGTTACGGTACGTACACATCTCCCCCCCCCCCTTTCATGCAAAACTCTACTTCGAAATCTGAACATATGGGGCCCCTTCAGGTCTCGGCTACCACGACACCGGCACTGCTGTATTTCGTGCAGTTCGGACCCCTCTTGATCGAGCCGTAAGCATGCGGTCTCCCCATCCCCGTGGACTCGATCTAACCCCTTCTGCAGCACGATCGGGATCCTCGTCAACCACTTCCTCATCTCCCTCCAAGAAGCCGCCAACCGGCGCACGTACCACTTCGGACTCGATACCCACCCGCACCTCGCGACCTCTGACATGGCGCAGGACTTGACCAGGTGCCGTCCGATCAGCCTGGTGCAGTTCGCGCGCGCGGACGTCGACGAATGGCTGGAGTTCGAGGGTGCCGGCGCGCCTCCCGCGCTCGCTGACGGCGGCGCGTACGCGCAGTGGGAAGAGGAGTGTATCGAGGCGCTGAAGAAGGTGCAGGCAAGGGTCAGCAGCTCGGATTGCGACGAGTGGGTGTAGGGCGGCATGCGGATGTCAGGCAGAAGACTATAACACAGATAGCGAGGACACGTACCGGTGAGTAGCCCGCCTACGTCGTGAGGCCTGACACATCTCACGTTTCGTTTCTACAGGCGGCGCGGCTGTGCTGCGCCCGTCAGTAGTCTATCTGCGTTCGATACACCTCGTCTTAGGAGTCTGTCAGCGCAGTGCAGTAGTAAAAGGGTGCGTCGCGAGACGTCATGAATAGCACCGCTTTTACATTCTAGGGACACCATCTGCACCTCCGGCTGCGCGTCGGTCCTGCACTCACCGAACGCCGCAGCAGTTCACCGGCGACTCGTGCTTGCTTGCTCGTCACCGCGATGGTCGACCATTTTCTGTGTCGTTTTTCTCACTGGCACGCACCTCTGCACTGAAGTAAACGCTTCCTCGCCCTAAGCTCGCGCGTACCTCCGGACGACAGCCACCGGATGTGCCTCTCTTTCTACGCTCACGGCTACCGCTGCTGCACACCCCCGCGCCTCCTTCTCTTCTCGCTTGCTCTCCGCTGATACGAGATCTCACCAAACGGATAGCGGGATCGCCCTCCGAGTCTTAGTGCGCAACAAACAAGCACTGGTCAATTTCCACTGGTCAACGTCATATGCCATTGATCTCGAGGCTTTCGATTTCTCAGCCTGAAGCGGCCACTAGTACTGAGCTGACACGGTACTGCGTCTATGGCTCATCTGTTTTCGATCCATCTCGTCTCGATATGTGAACTCAGGCCGGCCCAGTCGGCTGCACGCCCCCTTCAAGGCCGCTCTGAACGTGCGCCCCACAGGTCTCGCTCGCGACGACGAGCACCACTCTGCTCTACTTCGTCAACTTCAGCCCCCTCCTCCCCGAACCGTACGCCTCCTCCCCTCCGCCTCCACCTCCCCCGCCCCTGGCTGACCCGCCCCTCACAGCACGATCGGCATCCTCGTCAGCCACGTCCTCATCGCGCTCCACGCCTCCGCGTCCACGCACGACCACCCGCTCCTCAACGGCGACGCCGCGGCCTCCCGCACACCGTTCTCCCTGGACACGCACGGCTCGGTGAGCCTCGTGCAGTTCGCGCGCGCAGACGTCGACTCGTGGGCGCGTGCAGAGCTGCATACCGCTGGGAGCCTCTCTGCGAGTGCGGGCGAGGAGGAGCCGCAGACGGGGCAGGGGAGTGTCGCCGGCTCGGGCTGTCACGATGTATACGGTGTCCTAGGTGCGCCGCTGTATATTCGTATCCGCGCCACGAATGTACCCGTGCACTCCGTTAGTAGTTACAGCTGTGCACAGACCGTATGCACACACATACACGGCACACGCCCCGTATGCCGCGGACCCCGCTCGCACGTACGCCCTCCTGCTCGTCTACACTTCGCCCGCATCGCCCTTCCGCACCCAACCTCAACGTCCGCCCAGTAGAGCCCGATTCCCCCCCGCGCGCGTCCTCAGCCCCGTCGCCGTGTCTTACAGCACGAGTCCCCCCGTCCCGCCACGCCCACGCATGAACCCACCCTCGTATTCGCGCCCATCCCACACCACCGTGACACATCCCGCCTACGCGCACCTCCCCGCACACGCCCCGCCTCTCCTACCCCTCCCTCGCCTACCGCCCAGCCCGCCCCCCTCACAGCGCCCAGCGTCCCGCCACACTCGCGGCCCGCCGACCACCCCGCGGTGCGCACCCCAGCGAGCGGGCCCGCGCAGATAGCGACACGCACTTACACGCGAGGGGCAGGCGTGCCGGGCTCGCTGAGACTCCCGTTTGCAGGTGTGCGGAGCGGGAGGGGGCGCTGTGGTGGACGGTCGTGATGTGCAGGATGGCGGGCGAGCGTGGGTGGTATCCCCTTGTATCCCCATCGTGTATGTACACGTACGAGTGCCCCGCTCCAGCTTGATGCTTGAATCCACGCCCCGATTGAACACGGGCCCTCCCGCGCTGCAGCACGTACGTACCCGCCACACCCTGCCCCGAAGGCTCCAACACAGGCTCCGCGCCCTCGCGCCGCACAGCCGTCCCGCGCCCCTTCTCCCGCGCTCGCCCTCCCGTAAAGCCCACTCGCCGCCCCGACCAGCCACGCATCTCCCCTCTCACTGTCCCTATCCCGCGCGCACGCCAGCAGGCCAGTCCATCCGCGTCTCGCACTTGTCGTCCCCACGTGTGCAGTCCCTCCAGGACCGCACGCCCACCCCAGGCCAACTGTGCACCCGGGATCCCTGCACGCGCACGGAGCCCGGCCCCGCGCGCATGCGGTCATACACGAGCGCGGGCGGGTCCGCGGCCTAGGCGTCGGGGCGTCGTGCGCATCGACGTCGATATCGGTCGCGGTCGCGAGGGTGTGCGTGACGGGCTCGAAGGCGGAGACGCATGTGTGCTCAGCGCTCAGTTGCGGTATTGGGGATTGGGGGCGCGGTACTTACTCTAGGGTGTTTGTACTGGGTGCATACACAGCGGGAATACGGGCGCGCGCGAGAGGACGACGAGGCGGCTGCACGCGGTCTCAGGTTACGGGGTCTGTCTGTCTACGAGGGCGAGGTACGCCACCTGGAGACGCAGGGATTCAGAGCATGACGTAGGGTGGCATGCGGGCGTCGTAGGGGATTTGGGAACGAGCAGGGAGGATTGACAGCTTGATCCTGATATGTATTCCGCATCATGGATGTATCTTTATCACTAACCTTCTCCGTGGAAAGCTCCGCCCGCGGTAACAATCACAAGGTGCACCCCGACGCGCACGATAGAGGTCGCACGCGATGCTTCTACGTCTCCCGAAGCTCGCAGGACGAGGAGGAAGAGAGGGACTGGCGAATCGCGTCGCGCCCAAATCCGCGTCTCGGCGAAGCTACGTCAATCATTAGATTCGGCAAGTAGTCTTTACTTACTCGTTTTGATATCTCATGCTATATGGCATACAACGTACTGATCGTGGGAGTTTTGCATTTGAATGTAGACACGCGCAGAAGTGGACGCTCTCGACTTGCTCTCGACCTACACGACCGCGAGATAGATGGTGCCTCAGACGTAAAGCAAGAAGCAAAAACCGGGAAAAGTGAGTACTTCAGTTCGTAGACGTCGTACGTGATAAGTCTCATATCTATGTTTCCTAAGTAGCGCAGCTCTGCACTCGTTACCCAACCGAGTTCGATTCCACACCATCGCGTCCCCGCTGGTCTGGTGTGCAGTCGCGCATCGCGGCCGAGGCACGGCTAACATAAAAACAACAACTCGTCGTTTGCGTTCTTGATCGTGTAGCACGTAATGCACCCGCTCCAGTCGTGCGTTGCCAGTTAGGGTTACAATGCTCTGCCCTCGCCGAACACTACCGCCATCGAGCTAGGATGCGAACCTGTCCGATATCGAGGCCACTGTGACCGCCATCTTTTTTTATCCTTGTCTGCTGGTTTTTGAGGCGACACTGTCCGCTGCGGTCTGTCCATGTCGTCGGGTTCTCCGGAACCCAACTGTTGCCTCTTACACATCTGTCCTCAAAGATTTTACGTGGGTATCGCCCTCCTATCTCTGCCTTCAAGTGACGTTGATGGTCTTACACCGCGTAACTCGTGCAACCGAAGTCGTTCACCCTGGAACTGGGATATGTCATTGAATTCGGCCCCTTCAAGTTCGTCGAGACGTAAGCACCTATTCCGTGTACCCTCCCATCGCCTCTGACCGATCTCGCCGCCTCTGCGTGCCCATATACAGCATTATCGGAATCTTTGTCAACCACTTCCTCGTCTCGCTCCAAGAAGCTGCATCTGCGCGCACCTGCCTCTTCAGTCAGTGGTCACTCCTTCTCACCATCGGACGACACCTCTGGCGCGGAATCGATGAGCGTACTACAATTCGTCCGCGCGGACGTTGACGAATGGATCCAGTCTGAACCGGCTGCGTCTCCTGTTCTGACCGTCGGCGCGCGCTCGCGGAGCGACCTGACGACGCCACTCATCTTGACCGCCGGCGCCAGCTTTCAACCTTACTCGGACGCGCATCAATCACAGAGCAGTCTGATAAAGATACCTCAAATTCACCTCTACGCCCCAGGTGCTTGGGACATGGACGGCGTCCCCGGATCTCCAGTTTTGTAGAGTGCGGTCGGAATGCAGGAGACGCACCACGCCGTGACACACGTAGGCCTATTCAAACTCAATCGTCGAGCCGTGAGCTCTCGGGCAGCTTATTGATATGCTTGCTACGATCGACTCGATCGAGTACGTGGATGTCGTGACGTATGGGACGGCGTACGACTCGTAAGTCCCCAGCGCGCTCCCCAGTACTCTGCACCAGCACTACTGATGTTTGTCTGGCTTGAGCAGCAAGTACTGCAAGTAGCAGGCGAACAACGGGTTTGTTGCCGCCACTTTTGCCGTCGAATGCGTCCAATTCAGCATGAGGGTTTTCACTTACCCTTTCGGCCCGACTTACATCGCGCGCAGGCACCGCCATCGAGATATCGAACCCCGAAGCTGTCTATCTGTCATGCGAGTGCGTGTTACTGCGCCGTCTTGTTTGTTACTGAGGCTCTTGAGGTCTACCTTGCCGTAGGGTGCTCTTGTTCGAGAAACATCCTCTCTACCTCTCGAAGATGGATACCACGCTGCGGTAACGTCTGCCATGTCCTGGTCGCTTGGGAGACTGCGGTATTTTGGGATGTCTTTCCTCACAAGACTATAAGAGCCCTCAATCCCAGACAGTCTTCGCCCCACATCCACGCCCCCGCTACCCCACTGCCATGAGTTCAACGTACGATGCCGAGATCATCAAGTATCGAACATACCTGTGCGTATATCTCTTTCAACCGCGAAGCACCGGCCATAAACCTGATGTCCTACTGAATCAGTATGGCGGGAAATTATTTCGAAATGGCAACCACAAGTAAGCCTATGCCCTCGTCGATGAGCTTTTAATCGTGCGAACGACATTGATCGAGATCAATGCTGCAGCCCTACTCATATGGCACTACCTGCTGACCGTCGACAAGGAGTTCGGCTACTTTTGGAGAAAGAGATTCTCCGGCGTGTGCGCCTTATATCTTGCGAATCGTTACCTCATCCTTGTTGTCATTGTATACCAAACACCCTGGTGGAACCTGCGCCTCACTCGCCAGGTGAGTCTATGTGAATTCCTCATCGTCGGACCACTGCTTAATTAGTTCTGGTGTGTGAAGTGGCAGTGAGTGTCCCGTTCTACATCTCAATATCTGGCTAACTGCTCTCCCGTTGTTGTGTATTGAACGAAAAGATGCTATGCGGATATATATGCGCGGTACATCCTGAAGTACTCGCAGTATGTCGTCTGGGCAGGTGCGCAAGTACTTTGAAATATTTAACACAGGCTCCGGATCGGACACGCTGACTTCTGGAATGTAGCATTCTCCTTTCTTCGCGTATACGCACTGCGGAAACAATGGACGTGGGCACTGCTTGTCCTAATTTTGTCGCTCGCCCCGGTCATTTACGGCCTGGTCAGCCTGAGTTGTTTTGATGGCTTCTGTGTTACTAGCTAACGTAACGAACGACAGGGAACACTAAGGTTCACACGAACTTCGTACGATTCGGAGGGTTCCTGCGTTGTCTGGACTACCATGTCGCGTCTTTTTGATCAGAGGTTCGTACAAGTTGTTCCTCTTACTAGCAACGATAAGCTCAACCGTCGTTCTAGATGTGAGCTCACCAGCCATTCATCTGATTCTCCTGACTGGCTTCTGTGTTAGTGGAAATTGCCGCTCGCGTATCTCTCATTGCAGCAGAAGTCATCGTCATGGGTGTCACCTGGGCGGCAATGAGACATCGTCGTTGCGGCGGGAGTATCGGACAGTCCCCCCGCAGAATGGTAACGATATCGTCTGTATTCTATGAGAACGGTAAGCCGTTGCGTTTTTAGTACTCCGGACTGTCACTGAGGAACACGCATCTGATAGGCAGAGTGTATTTCGTGTATGACCTACGACTTATGCGCCTACACGATCGTTGCTTACGAGTGAATCTCCAGGTTGACGATCATCATGCACACGTTATATCTCATAGTGTTATTGCTTCCAGTAGGTGCACATTGCTCCTATAGCATAACGACATCTCTAAAGTGCGCGCCGCAGCTCTCACTCGCGACAAATCCGCTATTGCTATACTTTGTTGCGTACAGCCCCCTCTTGATCGAGCCGTAAGTGTTCTTTCCCGCTCCTCCTTGAGCTCTCTCATTCATGCGGTGGCAACCACTCAACTCCTCTATAGAACCATCGGAATTCTCGTCAACCACTTCCTCATTGAGCTCCAAGAAGCGGCGTCCAGTCCCGTGTACCTCTCCACTTCGTCACCCGGGTCCTCCAACATGAAGGATACCCTCCCATCCGCAGACGGCTCCATCGGCTTACTGCAGTTCGCTCGCGCAGACATCGACGGGTGGATCCGCTCGGAGTCCGCACCTCCCAGTGCTTCCACATGTGATGCACTCTCTCAGAGCGACAGCACAGCGGAGTCGTGGGACCAGGAGTGTATCGCTGCCCTGCGAGCGGTTCCGCGGAGATTCAGCAGTTCAGACTGTCACCACACGGCGTAAAACGCGGGTTGTCGGACGACGCGCAGCGAGCCTTGACGGCAGCGCCATCATGTCGACTCCAGATTGGATTGAATTGTAAATGATATATGATACTGTATACGTGACTCTATCCTGCCGCAGATGCGCGCGTGAAGGCGCTGTACGAGCAGCTCGGCATCCGCCCGCGGTTCGCGGCATACGAGGAGGCGACGTACCAGCGTATCGTGAGTCTCATCGAGACCATCTCAGAGAAGCCGCAGGCGAAGGCGGGCGAGGTCATGCTCCGGTGCGAGGTGTTCAAGGTCTTCCTCGACAAGATCTACAAGCGCCAGAAGTAAGCGGCAGGTGGGCCGAGGGTCAAGCGGGCAGGCATACGGATGTCATGTGTATATAGATGTAAGGCGACGATCTTGGAATTCACCCGGTACGACCCCGCCCGCTGCATGTCAGCCGGGGGGCGTCGTTCACAGCTCGGGCAGCGACTAGACCGCCCTCGCCAGGTGACGATTCAGCGCGAAGGCGAGCACATCCGCAGACGCGCCATCCTTAGCCAAGACTTCCGCTTCCTCGGCTTCGCTCGCGATGCGGCCAATGTAGTCCACGGCCCCAGACAGGTGCGCGACGCGACAGCAGGTCGAGTTAATGTGGAGGTACCGTGTGTTGGGGAGAGGCAGGTCCGGGTGACGAGACACGAACTGCACACTGTTCGGGACAGACATCAGCTGTCTGTCCACACCAGGAGCGAGGGCAATGTTGTAGAAGTTCGGCTGTCGCCGGAGGTTGTCAGTTCCAGCTCGCCGCAGTGTATAGCTAGAAGGACCGCATACCTTGTCATTCACAGCCTCAAACCAGAGGCTCAATCCATCAAAGAGGTCGTGGATAAAACTGGCGAGCATTAGAATATTGCTCAGCCGATACAGGTTGGCCTCTTCGAGAGCCGACCGGAGCTCCGCGCGTATATCCTCGTACCCGAGCCGCGTCAATATCGCCCACACAGACGCGGCTTCAGACTCCTTGAGAAGCTCCTATTGCGTGAGTGATGCTTGCAATGGGCGGTTCCGTGAACCCTCTACTCACCTTCCCTGTGGTCGCGTCGACGGTGATGTGTCCGAGAGAATCCGGGAAGATGTGGCAACATCGAGTCGTCGTAACATGTTCTCCAGATACCGGGAGGGCGAGCCCCTTCATGTAAGCTTTGAAATCGACTTTGCCGGTGACCATACACCGAAAATTGTCCCGTACGAGAGCCTACGGAAGAGCGATGAGCTAGATCAGGATGCTACACTGCCAAAATGAATGGTCCGTACCGAGGCCTTCGCATTGGAATGATTTCGTGGGGCGGGCTGGAGGTCTTGGAAGCATTCGTCCAATACACGATCGAACGACGGTCTGGACGGATGAAAAGAGGCAGCAGGGGATGTTCCCCTCGTGTGTTTTACTGACGTAAAGCGGCTCAGTATATTTTAAAGCTCTCGAGGGTGAAAATAAAAGCTTACAAATGCCGATGAAATATGCAACGTACACGGCACCGAGCTGGAAAACAGCCTTAGATGGGTCGTCCGTGCTATTACAAGAGGCCAACTCGAGTGTGAGACACCGACGGGCTTCGTCCGACGGTGGATATAGGAGGAGGTACCCGAGAACGCGGGCGTAGACGATAGGAGCCTCCTCGGCTTTCAAGAGGGCCGCGCTCTCCGCAGGAAGGATGACATGTTCGTAAACGCTGAGCGCCTGAGGTATCGGCGAGCCGCCAAGGAGCAGCGGTGCAGCGTCTGCCGCTGAAGGTAGCGCGGTCATCTTCTCGTGCGGGTGAGTCGCAGTCGTGTGCCAAATGAGTGCGGGGGAGGAGGACAAACCGCAGAAGCGCCGACGGCAGGAAAACGAAGAACGATCGAGAGGCAGCGCACAGCCACAGGACGACCTCTCTCTCTTTCCTCACTCACTCCTGCCCTCGCATGCAGCTTGAAGCACTGCGTATTTAATCTCGGCAATTCTTTCAAAGTTTCTTGAAGACATGTTGTTCTCGGGAGCCCGCGCTGCGTTAGATGTGTGACGCGAACGACCCGGCAGCGGAGCCATGCGCGAAGGCGCTGGACGACTCGGAGCCTGAGGAGCCTGAGATGGGCATCGGAGAACAAATCGCGGCGTATGAGGAGGCGGCGCAGAAGCGTACGTTGTCCCGCGTCGGAGGGTAGAGGAGTAAGTAGCCGACGACGCGGGCCGCTGTGAGGCAAGCTTCCGAGTTAAACCTTTTTTCTTGACTCGAGGCAAGCGCGCACGGTGCGCTCGGCGAGGAGGACAAGATCTTCGTAAACATTGTATATAGCTGAGAATACACTTGCAAGTACTCTTGCGGCATATTAGACTGAAGGTTATGCAGACATAACATGTAGGCAGATGTAGGCTCGGTAACAATGGTGTTGAACAAGAAGTGCGATGTGATGGGTCCAGGGAAGTCCATGGTGAAAAGGCGTGGCACGGGCGCCTTCCGTGCTCAGGCGCCTACCGTACGGAGCTCTTTCCTTCGCACCATCATCCTCCCGCCGCCTCCTCTCCGCCGTGCTATCCTGTACACCGGAATTTGGCCTACCGATCCAGTGTAGCACTGCACATATCACGTATGGCGAATTCAAGTGGTCAGTCGGTGTCATATGTTGGCATACACCGCTAAACAACGTACCCGAAGCGCACCCGCACAGCTGACCGCTTGCGCAGTAGTTCAACAGGAGAGCCTCCGCCCGCGGAGAGTAGTGAGGCTGTTGGACATACCAGAAGAAGCTTTTTAAGTCTCTCTCCGGGTCGATCTCGCCTTTGCCGCGCGCTATCAAGACCATTCAAACCCTACTGCCCGACATCTGTGATATGAACTGGTCGCCAACTCGACACTCCGCCATCTCGTCCACCTCTCTCCTAGGTTTTCCAACCTTGTCTATTTGTGTTCCTGACAGAGTAGAGCGCTTTCTGGATTTTGCGCGTCCAGCCACGTCGCTGCCGTTCGATGCAGTCAAGACCCGTCGCCGTCGTTTCATGTCTACCGCTTCTCCTGGGATCGGATCATTGGGAGCCAAACTTCGAAATCTCTATAAGAGCTCTCAGCCTCGAATGAATGCCTTCACCACTTTTCCTCCTCCCCTTCGTCACTAGACGACTGAAATGGCTTCGACGACCTCCACCGCCTCGATGGCCGCGTTTATCAAGTCAGAGGATTTGGCGTGCGTAATTTCCTCGAATACTGAAGCGCCGACTGAACCCTATCCTTCCAGTATGGCCGAGCAATATTTCAAAATGGCGACCACAAGTAAGTAGACCCGCTCCTTGCCGACCAGTCATGATGGCGCGCGCCGTACTGACGGAACTCAACGATGCAGTGCTACTTATGTGGCACTACCTTTTGACTATGGAAAAAGAGTACGCGTTCTTTTGGCGACGGAGGTTCTCCGGCGTATGCGCGCTCTTCCTCGCGAATCGCTACATTGTCCTCGCCGTCATCATCTATCAATCTCCCTGGTGGAACGTGCACTTCTCGCAGAGAGTAAGCATATCTACTTTTTTCAATCGAGGCTCTGCTCATGAACTCCGGCGTATATAGTGGTAGTGAGTATTTTCCCCCGAGAATTTCACCTTTACACGCTACTGATTGTCATGACGTTGCACGGTAAGATGCCAGACAGCGATATATATACAGTTCATCTTCGGATACACGCAGTACCTCGTGCATACGGGCGTATCGAAGCGGACGTAGCCCAAGGTCCATCAGCACCGGAAGTATTTGGGTGTGGGCGGGCAGTCGCGACACGCGGCGCGCGAAGGTGTTCTGTACGTCCTCGAGCTCACGCAGGTCTGCGGTGTTGACGTCGAGGTCGACCACGCATGCAGATATGAGATGGGGATGTATGCGCGCGTTGTAAAGCTTCCGTGCGAAGAAGGGGGGTATGGGACCAATGAGCCCCTCCACTCCTAGAGTAGAGTTAGCCACCGCGCGCGCCTTCTTCGCTTGCAATACGCGATGATTTGCATAGACGTTGCGCTTCGACGTCGCCAGCAACACGCCCACGTAGGCGGTACAGTCCGTCAGCTGCAGTCGTTCGCCATAGAGGGTGATTCGAGGCAGGGCAAGTGGCAGGGGTCCGAACGCGAGTAAGAAGCTCTTTGATACGTTGACCGCGAGCCCATTGCGCAAGCACCAGGATGCGAGGGAGTCGAGCTTGGATTGTAGGCCCTCTGGCGACGTGGACAGCAGCAAAATGTCGTCCGCTTGAGCCAGATAAGGAATGCGGAGGTCACCGAACCAGACGTCGTCGTCGTGAGGCAGACAGGTGAAATCTGCGAAGAACAAGTTCCACAGGATGGGGGAAGCAGGGTCCCCAATCAGGATACCGGCGAGCGATTGGAAAAAGTCTGAGTATTCGCTGTTGTAGCGAACGAAGTAGTGCATCCGTTGGTAGAGCATGCGCATCCAGTCGAAGAGCGGGCCACCAGCCCCGAGGCCGCGTAGCTTCGCCCATAGAGTAGCTTGGTCTACGGAGGGAAAAGCGTTGGCCAGATCGACAGACGCAACCCAGAGAGTCTTTCCGTGAGCCTGAGCTTGTTTGGCAGCAGCGCGCAGCGCAAAGACATTGTTCTCCGTGCGATGCCCCGTACGGAAGCCGTTTTGCAACGGCGGCACCAGATCCTCACTGTCCGACCACTCGCGTATGCGACGATCTATGAGGAGCGTCAGCGTCTTCAGGAGACAGCTCTCCAGCCCAATGTTCCGGTAACCGGCAGGATCGTCCGCGTTCTTCCCTTTCTTGCGCACTGCCGACAGTGTTGCAGAGAGCCACTCCCGGGGGCTGTCCAGAGAGGCCAGGCACCCTTGGAACAGCTTTTGCAGTTCCGTGTTCGGGATGCGCAGAACCTCCAGGTAGCTGATACCGTCCGGCCCCTTCGCCTTCCCTCCGCCTGTCAGAGCCAGGCGTGCTTTCACCGCCGCGATGTCATCGACAGTGATAGGGCGTGAAAACGAGCGATCGGGGGTGAGGTCCTCGGTGCGATCAGGTAGGTTCTCTAGGAGCACCTTATCCAGCGCTCGCAGCGCGGGCAGAGGACCACAGTTGGAGTCAGGCTGTGGGTTCATGCGGGGCTCGAATTCGTGGTGCAGTTGTACTGCGTTCACAAGGTGGGAGGTGCCGCGCGGCGCGGAGATGTTTCCAAGGACCTTCCAGAACGCTCCCTCGTGGGGTGCGTTTGCCAGGTCATAGTAGTGCCGCACCCGTGCGTCGTTCAGGATGTCCGACTGCACCTCCACGGGATCGTCACCGTCATCCACCGCATCCTCAACCGTCGGAGCCTGGTATGGAGGCACACGAGCGGTCTGCGTGGCTATGGGAATCGGCGGCAGGGAGGTGAAAACCTTGATGAGGCCATACATCTCCGGTGCGTCCATAGGTCTGATCGGCCACGCCTCCGGCACCGGTAAGCAGGCAAGGTCAGGACCAGGAGGGTTCTCGCATCCGAGTTTCGCAAGACGGTCCGCCAAGTCGTTCAGCGCGTTCCCAGCGTGTACTTTCACCCAGCAGAACCTCACGGGTGCTCCTCGAGCTCGCAGGACCTGCAGAATTGATTGCAGGAGGTCGCTGTGCGCGGCGATCCATCCCAGTTCCGCGTTACGAGGCGCCCAGTGGCAGATGGAATGTATGACGTAGGTAGAGTCGGTGTGCAAGGCGAGGGAGCGTACTGGGTTTGCATGACGGAGGGCATGAAGGACGGCGAACAGCTCCGCACGGTTGTTCGTCTGTGACTCTCCGGGTACGCGCAGGGCTACGTTAGCGGTGGCGTTCAGTCCCCAGCAGACGCCAGCACCCGCGCACATAGTGTCATTGACACTCCTTGCGGAGCCGTCTGTCCACACGTCCACGCGATCGGATGCTGCCCAAACAGGTCCATAGAGGTCGGCGAGACGCTCCTGCAAGGTACACTTTCCAGCCGCCCTCACGTCGTTGACAAGGTCATCAAGGGGTCCAGACTGCAAGGCGCGTGGCAAGGAGGGCGGGCGTGAGCGTGCTCGCGGTAGTTCGCGCTGATCTCCATCCGAGAGAGCATTTGCACGGTTACGCATGCGATAGACCAAGAGTAGTCGAGCGTGGTCCGTCAGTCGCGGGTGATGTTCGAGCACTCGGACCGCCCGTACGTGGCCCGCCTGGACTGCAATGGCGTCTAGGAGTGCGTAGTCAACCACAGCGGAGCCGTTGGGCTGAATAGACGTGAAGGATTCAACCGACAGAGCGTCATGGAACAGGGTGCCTATACTGGGATGTTAATCTCAATCTTTTCAGGCAGATGACGCCATAGTACGTGCCATTTAAGATTACGAGGTCAAACTCCTCGCAGGTGGAGAGCAGGGAGCGCCCGCGTGTGGACACGGGAGCCGCATCAGGGGATATGCGCGGGTAAAGCCGAGGTTGGGCTGACAGGGACGCTGTTCGCGCGTTGAAGTCCCCCATCACGCAGAGATGTATTCCCCGGTCTACCTGTCCCGCCAGCGATGCAATACATTCGTTCATAGCCTGCTCTGGCGGCATGTCGTCGTGACTTAGCCAGGGAGAAGACGCGGGCGCCAGGTATACGTTCACCAGAATGAGCTCGTCACGGAGGAGGATGGGCAGAACATCCGCGGTTGTCGTGCACGGTAGACGACGAGGCCTCAGTGTGTCGCGAACTAGAGTGGCGACACCTCCACCCTGCTGCGCCATAGCACGCGAGTCAGGCCGAGATGCAGCAAATATGGAGAATCCGTCCGGAAGTACGACGCTGTCCTCTTGGCCCGGACGGAGGAATGTTTCCTGGAAAAGGATGACATCGAAACCGCGCAGGAGGTCCGTAAAGCGAGGCATAGATAACTTCAAGGCAAGACTGCCATGGACGTTCCAGGAACAAATCGAGATCGTATTTGCCGTGTCATCACGGCTACATGAATACATGAGATAGTCTGTGGGCGGTGGCTAGAGGAAGGACCCTACAGTTGCATCGTCGCCGTCATCTCGGCGTACTGCGGGGAGTGCCCTCGGTAAGTCTGCCAGGTGTCTACGAACAGCTTCGCGTCGTTCCTCGAGACGAACTGGATGCACACGTAAAGCGGTCCTCCATCGAGTGTGACGTTCTGGATACGGCCCTTCAGGAAGGCCTTGCGTTGGAAGGCAGCGCCTCCCACTTGGATGACTTCGTTACGAAGGCCGTGCGCACCCCATTTGTGCGACCCGAACACGACGTCAACACTGGGACCGCTGTTGGACGGCACAGGCCGCGCGGGCGCAGGTTGGGCCGTTTGCTGTGCCCCCCAGTTCCCATTCGGCGTGAAAGTCCCACCCGACGTGTACTGGGCTCCCGTCGACGTTGACGGGGGAGCGAAGGCACCGACGTGAGGTTGGGCGGCGGGCGCACCCTGGAACGCCTGCCCCTGTGCATGGGTGTTCTGCGGGGCGTGAGGAAACGAGGTGGAGACGTCCATCGGGCTCTGCGCCGAAGGTGGCAAGTACGGGTTGTGCTGAGACGCGGACGCAGAGGGCGTGGGCGCGTCGAAGTTCCTACCCGCCATCTGTGCATGGTACGGGGGCGGGGATGGCTGCTGCACCAGGGGGTAGGTGGCGAAGTTGGACGTCGGTGGGACAGACTGGTTGCCTGGAGTCGCACCCGCCAGAAGTCCGGGGACAGCGGTGTCGGTCCGCATAACAGCGTCGGCGTGCACGTACTGTGGCCGAGAGGCAAGATCGAGAGCCTTCGTGGCCTGCAGAGTGGCGTTGATGGCCTGTGTGTGCAGCTCATCGACGGACTCGGCCATGTCGCGGAGTCGACCGTCGAACTGAGTGATCAAAGCCGCATGGCTTTCCTGGATTTGGCCAACATGGGTAGAGAGCTCCTTCCGGATGGCCACGACCACTTGTTGCAGCACTCGCTCTTCGGAGTGCGAGATGGACTCGCGGATGCGGTCGTTGATTGCGGGTGTTGCGGCGCGGTCGGCCTCGACTCCCTGCACGAACGACGTGAAATGGGAGTTCATGGCTACGATGTCAGACTGGAGAGACGCCATGGTGGGTTTCGCGGGCGAGCGGGTCTTAGGGGGCGCAGGCGCATCGTCATTAGCGCGGTCGGGCGGAGACTCCTGAGAAGCGTCCACGGGTGTGGTCGCCGCCTTGGTGCGCTTGCGCTTCACCCCGCCGTTGTGGTCGCGGAGCGAGGTGTGCGTAGCGGTCGTTTGGCGGAGGAGTCGACGAGATGTGGATGGGGGCGGAGTACCTGGCTGGTCAGCCACGTAGTCATCGCCTGCGTCCTCGTCAACGCCCTGAGTGGTCTGCGAGGACTGCGACGGCCCATCATCTGCTCTCGTTGTCAGTCCCAGAGAGCATGAGAAGGTCGCTCGTAGTACACACCCTCAAGGAATGGGTTCGTTTCTATCCCCTTTCCTTTGTCAACGCGAGACCCGGCCGTTGGCGTACGGGAGTGCAATGAGGGTAGGGACAATTCCGCCGTCGGACCGCTGGCCTCCAGTAGGCGCTGCAGCGTGGTCGGCGGGATTTCATCCATTAGAGTTGAAGGTAGATTAAGAATTAAGAGAGGTAGAGTACGCAGAGGAAAGATCGTGGCAGGAGGCGCGGAAGCAGAGAGGAGAGTTTGCAGAATCAACCACCCGTGCTAGTTGAGCGGCTTTAGGTTACAGCGGAGCGTGAATATAACACGCAAACTCTAAAGTGGCTGACCAGTAGGCCACCGAACCTGCACGATCCCAAAAGGGAAGTACCGTGAACGCCACCAGGCTGTGGCTAATTCCCTAATGTAGACATAAGCCCCAGTGAGAATCGACAAATGTCGTGGCCTGCGGGAGCGTGCCATGTCGTGCGAGGTCGTGTGAAACCCCGCCACTTTGAGATTGACAGGTCCCAGGCTCGGACAGGCTCAGCACGGCTATGTTGTAAAATGCACGATACTATCCTCCCAGGTCGTCCCTGGGTTACGCTACAATTTAGAAACCATGATGCTACATCGTGTGTACTACTGTCCTATCGTGTGTAATCGTGTCCGTGCGTGCACTGCCTGCCTGCTAGCTACCACCAGGATCGGGCAGGCTGTGGGGGGATGCGGCACTGCGCAAACCTGTTGTATCCTTCCCTGTCTGGGGCCCTGCTGCGTGCCCATACCCACCCGCGCCCTTGCGCCCTCGCGTCCCCGCACCCTTGCCTCCGCGTCCTCGCGCCCCCGCGTCCTCGCGCCCCCGCGTCCTCACGAACTCGCGTCCTTGCGTCCCCGCTCCCGTGCCCCCGCGTTGTCGTGTCCATATGTCATCGTGTCGTCTCCGCGCACTGGTATGGCCTGAGTGTGACCCTATCGCCAACACAATGTTGTTGTCAGTACTACTCCGAATTTCAGCCGCACATGCTTACAAAATTAGGTTGATGTCGTGGCCGATCTCTTCTAGGCAGGCGACATCTGTCGGAGTCCTCCTCCACGAGAGCATCTACAAGCGGATAGCCCTCGAGGAATCAGTGAACGAGATTGTCAGCAGCAATTGGTGAAGGCGAGGAGAGCTCACCATGGGTGATGTACCCACTGCTATTACGGTCATAGTCGTGTCCGCACTGTGTCCTATCGTTGTCAAACACACAGGCGGCAGGAGTACGCTGAGGATCAGAAAAGACAGCGAGCCATAGTGCACCCAAGCAAGCACCAGTCTGAAGAGCCCAGAGATCCCGCTAATGTAGCCTAGAACCAGACCCCAAAGGCATCAGATTTCCGTTCTAGACCCAAGAGTAAGCGGGAGGGGGACGCGTTGATAGAAAGCAAAGGCAGGAATGTAGTGGGCGAGAAGAGAACGCGTAAAACAACCAAATGGAGAGGTCAGTTGAAGTACGCCCACACAGACTCTGTGACAGCGCGATTCTCACGGGTTCGAACGCCCGAGCACAGCTACCTGGTTGACGGAGTGGAGTAGAGAGAGAGCCGCAAGAGACCCACAGACCGATTGATGACAAGGGCGAAGGGTCGACAGACGATTCATTTAGCGGCCTGGAAGGCAAGCCGTTTGATAGGAAACGGATCACGGGCGTCTAAATACAAGATCTCGCAGTCCCAGACACGACGTCCACGCCCTGCCAGGACCTGACA